AAACAAACAAACAAACAAACAAACAAACAAACAAACAAACAAACAAACAAACAAACAAACAAACAAACAAACAAACAAACAAACAAACACAAACAAAGTAACTGACTTAATGATCCTATTGTCCGCTATTTCCCCCCAAATTTGCCACAGATGTACAGTAACATTTTCCTGCTGACAGAGGTGTCTATTTGTGAGACAAATAGAGACCTAGAGCTGTCAGTAGGGAACAGTAACATTATTATACAGGAATTGCTTGTGTGATGTTACTCTGAGTGTATATCCACACCGGGCAGGCTTGAAAAATATGCCTGACCACGGTGGGAATCGAACCTACGGCTACGATCTTTGGAATACTAGCAAGCATCTTATTCACCTGAGAACATTACACCAACACCACAAATATCATATACAGGAATTGATTTTATATATTTTGTAGGCCACCTTCACCCAAGATCTATTTTGGAACTCGAACTCATAAACAGATAACACAAATTGTTCGAGAATTGAACAAGACAGAATACAAAACTACAAAGTAAGTTTATTAAAATTGATAATTATATATATGTGCTCATTTTCTAAACTATTCTACAGGGAGTGGAAAGGTAATTTTATTCTTTTCGTATTTTTACAAACCGTTTCTAATTGATAAGTTTGCATGGCGATAAAACATACAATAAAAAAAGCTTTGCAGTAATAAATTTACGTGGTGTTTCCACAAACAAAAGTATTATACGTTTCTGTTAAATTGAGCTAATACATATCAAGCAGATGTATGTCTCTTCTAGCAATGTAATGGTTGTTTAAAATGTAAGAGCTTGCAGTTCCTCGTCATCTGGTAAACTGGCCGGGTCGATATCTAATACATGTTGGATAAATTTATACCCGAGAATAAAAACTGTGTCTGTTGAGCCTCTGCCTACTCTTGCCAACGCTCCTACTTTTTCTTCTACGATCTTGATTTTGTAATGTAATTCCATACCAGCAGTGGATTGTCCGCATTTCATAATCTATTAATACAAGATAACAGTTCTTCCATCCTTTCCGCGTGTACAGTTTTTCGGACATCATGCATGAAATTTCTTCACGAAAAGTGCTGACGTATTGTATTTTCGCACTTGTTATTTTGTTTTCAGAACCTCGTTCGCTTTGTGAAAACAAATTACATGAAACGCGTGCGAAAATACCATGCGTCAGAACTTTCCTTCATGAAATCTTTGGTAATTCGGAGTGTATTAAAGGAAGGTGATTACAGGAAGAAATATTGAGACCAAACTGATTGAGCTATTTAAAACTACAGTAAGGTTGATATAGCAGGACAAATATGAGGAATGGATCTTCTGGAGAAAAATTTAGAACTGATAGAGCTATGCAATATAAATAAAGTTTAGTTTAGGTTTCCTCCAGCATGACACTGGATCAATCAATGAGGACCTTTACTGAATCTCAACTAGTGTAGTCGGGCTTTGTAATACCTTCTTAATCTGGTTCCACCTTGATAATTTCTTCATCCCATCATTGTTTTGATACTGTGCGACCATCTTTTTTGCGGCTTCCATAACAAAGTGTACAGCATGTTTATTCTTTGTCTCTATTTCTTCCATAAAGATCCCCTGAATATGTTCAGACATCTCTTCTGCGTTTTCCAGTTCGCTATATCTCAATACTACTGAGCTTGCTTCATGTGCTATTTGTTGTCTGACATTCTCAGTTATTAAAGGTTTCAACTGGCTGACTTCAGTTCGTATTGCTTCAAGTTGTTGGTCTATCTTCTCGTCGTGCAGACGTGATTCTAGATCATCACAGTTCTCCTCCGGTTCTTTGCTAGGCGAGCCTCCCATCTTGAATGTGCTTTTTGTGAATGCCGTTTCTTTCCTTACCAGTCAGTGTTTACAGGACACTTCGCAATAACCTGCAAAATAAATCTCGCCACTTTCCGCCACAAGCAAATTGTGCATTTGCTGTCCTTTCACATATAATAACGACAACAATCAAACATTAGTCACAGATACTCAATAATAAATGTCTGGTGCATGGACCAATCAAGTCAAAAGCGATACTTGTCCAAAACTGCTGAAATGACACAAGTCGTATACTTTGTGAAACTTGGTTTATACTATAGACATGAATCAATGAAAAATCAACTAAAATCGATTAACATTTGTTTCCACCCAATTTAAAACTTTGGATAACTTACATGCCTCGTTGCTATTGTTCCAGGTTATGCAAACATGGAACAAAGTTATTTAGGCTATAGAAGGATTAGAACTCTTATTTATAATTCTGTGCTTGGTTAACTTTGTTCTATTCTATGATCTGGTAAACTATAGAATAATAGTAACTAGTGGGCTTGTTATCTAAAGTTCTAACTTGTGTGATAACGATGTGAACAAATGTTAGCTAAATTTGTCTATCAAATTAAACAATTGCACCAATCAGTAATAATCGATCACGCAATTTAAGAAAAAATGAAAATCTACAAGAAGTTCGTTATTAATAATTAAGTTGATAGAGTGTTTCATTACGTTAATTTGAACTGAAGGAAATTTAGTTTAAAATCGAAGAGCTTTCAGATCCGCATCATCTGGTAATGCTTTTGGGTCGACATCTAGTGCGTATGTGATGAATTTATACCCGAGAATAACAAGTGTGTCTGTTGTACCCACGCCTACTTTTGCCAACATTCCCTTTTTCTCTTCTGTGACTATGACTTTGTAATGCAACTCCATTCCAACAGTCTTATCTCCACATTTCGTCACCTAAATGACGATAATACAAGTCGTTAATTTTCCCATTATGTTCCAGTATATCGTTATTACAGGCTGTGACTTTAATTAAACCTCGCAGTTTTTGTTAAACGAATTCTAAGAGATCAATCTAAAGGCCCTGTCACACTATTGCGTATGAGAGAAGCGTATGAAAATTAATGAAATAATTTTCATACGCACAAAATCCTTTGAAATACCAGCGTATGAGTATACCGTACATCTGGCGTACCTCTAGCGTATTCAGCGTGTGCCTAGAGTATGTTTATCGTATAAACCATACGTCCGAATACGCACAAAATTTTTAAGCATGCTTAAAAAACATTTTCTGTCTGCGACCGTGCTTGAAACGTATACAACCTATGCCTAACGTACCCCTATAGCGTATGTCAGCATATACCGGCGTATGAGTGATATTTTTCATACGCTGGTATACGCTAGTACGATACGCAATAGTAACGTCAAACGAAGTTTGGCCATGTATAAGAGTTAAAGTTAAGAGGAGAAATATAAGGTTTGATATTTCCTTTGAGTGGATTTAAATAAAACCAGAATGCGTATAAAAGAATTGCCTCGTTTTTTTAAAGATTTATTATATATGGAAATGGAAAGGAAATAACTCTTATACCTTCTTAACTTGGTTCCAGCGTAATAATTTCGTCATCGCCTCACTGCTGTGAAACACCGTGACCATCTTTTTCGCGGCGTCCGTAAGAAACTGTACGGCGTGTTCGTCTTTGAAGATCTCCTGAATGTGTTTGGAGATCTCTGTTGCGTCATGCAGATCGCTATATTTCAACACCATTGTGTCTTCATTCCACGTTAATTGTTGTAGGACATTCTCGGTTATTAAAGGTTTCAGCTGACTCACTTCAGCTTTTGTTTTCTTCAGCTCTTTGTCAATCATTTCTGGAATTAGTGATAATTGAGTCGATGTTGATGCTGTGTGATTCGATTGGTTTACCTCTATATTGCTAGACGAGTTTCCCATCTCGCTTTTTGTGAATGCTGTTTCTTTCCTTCCCAATTACTGTTTACAGGATACTTCGCAGCAACCTGTCAAATAAAGTTTGACACAACGATGCAAACATAAACCTACTTTCGCGTTTTCCACCAGAAACCAATTTATATTTAGTATCCAATCAAAATGTCCTGGGGGAAATTACAAATTCATATAATAACGACAACAATCCAATAATAAATGAAGGCAAGACGTATCAAATTTTCTTTGACTGATCACCCAATCAAGTCAAAAGCGATAGTTGTCCAATACTACTGAAATGACACAAGTCGCATATTTTGTCAAACTTGGTTTGTGCGTGTTGTACGAGTCGAAAAATTGGTTTACGAGTCGACAATTGAAAATTTCGTTAGATTGGTTTACTATAGTCCTGAATATATGTCAAATGTTAAATAAAAAATGAACTAAAACCGGTTAACGTTTGCTTATACCTAATTCAAAACCAAGAAAAAATTAAAATCTACAAAAAGTTACTCTTTTTTACGAGTTCGTTATCAATAATAAAGTTGATAGAGTGTTTCATTACGTCAATTTGAACTGAAGGAAATTTAGTTTAAAATCGAAGAGCTTTCAGATTCTCATCATCTGGTAATTCTTCTGGGTCGACATCTAGCGCATGTGCAATGAATTTATACCCGAGTATAACAACTGTGTCGGTTCTGCCCCCGCCTACTTTTGCCCACACTCCTTTTTTCTCTTCTGTGATCATGACTTTGTAATGCAACTCCATGCCAACAGTCTTATCTCCACATTTCATTACCTAAATAATGAAAATCATTAGATGTTCCATCATGTTCCAGAATATACAGGTTCTCGGACATTCGTTTCAAGTAATAGTGCAGTTTTCGTTATGTTTGAACGAGAAAGGCCCTTTCAGGAATCGATATATAGATTTGGCCTCAAAACCGTTATCCTTGGTGAAAGAAAAAATGGATAAAGCGCATATTTCTACGAAAAAGCCGTTTAATTTTCTATTTTGCTATAGTTTCAGAGTCTGAAATAGTTAATGAAAAAGATAATCTGACCAAAATGAAATTTGATTCGGAAATTTTCAAATTTTGTCAAACATTTTTCGATTTCATGTATAGACTCCCGGCGTCTATTGGATAAATGACCTCAATAAATAATAATACACTATGATGCTTTTAAATTTAACAATTGTGTTTTCTTCGCTGGGGTGATCACACGCAGTATTTGCTTGGATTGCTATTTATCCTCCTGAGAAAGTGTCGGACCAATTTAGCATTTAGTTGGAAAAACTGTAATTTGGTCGGAAGAGGTCCGATGTCCGATCGTTATATCAAGCTGCGAGTCTGTTTAAACGAATTCTAACATTAACATTTTGAGACTTTAAGATGACTTTATAGAGAGTTAAAATTTTTGTTAAAAGACTAAGTATGTGATTTGATATTTTCTTCGAGTGGATTTAAATAAAACCAGAATATAGTGCGCGTAAAATAATTTTTTTAAAGATTGATTATGGAAATGAACAACCTTTAAATATACCTTCTGAACTTGATTCCAGCGTAATAATTTGTTCATCTCTTCACTGTTTTGGAAAACCGTGATCATCTTTTTCGCGGCGTCCGTAAGAAACTGTACGGCGTGTTCGTCCTTAAAGATCTCCTGGATGTGTTTGGAGATCTCTGTGGCATCTTTCAGGTCGCTGTATCTCAACACCATTGAATCTTCATTCGACATTAATTGTTGTAAGACGTTCTCGGTTATTAAAGCTTTCTGCTGGCTCACTTCAGCTCGCGTTTCTTTCAACCGTTGGTCAATCACGTCCGTCCGTTCGATCTGTCGTGCTAGTGGATGCCCTTGTGCCACTTCCAGTTTGCTAAACGAGCTTCCCATCTCGGAGGTGCACTGTAGCTGTGAGTGCTAGTCGTTCCCTATTGATCTTACTCTCTAATGATCTGACTTCAAAGGTTCACCCACGTGATGTGATCAACCTTGCGTCTGAACCAATCAAATGATCTATATGATGATGACAATGTTTCCTGTCAGGGAAGAACTTTGAAAACGTTTTCGAAACTTGAAATTGAAACAGGATCTTTTGAACCAGAAATGGAAAGGAAACTAAAAATGAAATAGGAGAATGTCACTTTGCAGAAAGCACTATTTATAACAGGGAACCGTTGTTGTACAGTAGATATTGTTGTTCAATTTGAAAACACGTATAGACGTCTCTTCATTCTTGGTCAGCAGAGTTATAGCTACCGTCGGAGGCAACTTTTCTTTTTGGGGGGAGGGGGCAGTGAGCTTAACCCAGCGGGATGATGCATACTCGGCAGAGCGTTGACTGACTCTTTTCACATGAGTCCGTAGCGAGACACCAACCCACGATCTCAGAGGTAACAGGCGCTTGCCCTGATGACTGCCCCACCGAAGCTTGTATCTGTACGCCAGGGAAGAAAACTTCAGAGAAGAAAACTCTTACTAATCCAGGCCAGATTTCTGAAGAAATATTTCCAAATTTCAATAAATATGCTGTTGGGAAGTTTGCTATGAATTTAAGGCCTCAAGCAAAGGCAAACCTAAATGGTGGGCTAATCCAGCTTTGAGCAACTGGCCCCTGATTTTAAACCAATCGCTTTATTTGATTTCAACTTTATTTAACGTGATGCTGCATGAACAGAATATTGAAGAAATTACTCTTGCGATATTTAACAAATATAAAACATTTTCCGTGTTGTTATACAGTTATATCAACACGAGTGGAATTGGGAAAACGAGAAATTGTATGTGGGCGGAGTGTTTTCATACAATTTCGAGTTTTCCCAACTTCCACGAGTGTTGATATAACTATATATCAATACGGAAAAATGTTTTATATTTTTTTTATAATATAGCAATGTCAAAAGCCCGAAGGATAAGAAAAATTTCCGTTTTTACAAGCGGCGGAAAATTTCCCGTGTTGACATTGAGTTATATCAACACGGCTCTTAGCCAATCAGCGTTCAGAATTTACAAATGCTATATTATAAAAGTTCGTATTATATGTTCTACTTATAGCTTTACATAAGTGTATACTAGAAACTAGAAATTAAGTAACAGAGAATAGAAGTAAAGTACATGATCGTACGTAGATTTTGTCATTTAAAATGAAAGAGATCGCAGATCTTCATCATTTGGTAATTGATTTGCATCCACATCTAGCGTTTGTTGGATGAATTTATACCCGAGAATAACAACTGTGTCTGTTGTGCCCCCGCCTACTTTTGCCCACATTCCCGTTTTTTGTTCTGTGATCACAACTTTGTAATGTAACTCCATGCCAACAGTCACACCTTTACACTTCGTGACCTATAATATATAATAATACAAGTAAAGAGCTTTTCCATTGTCGTTTGAGTCAGTATATTCGAAAGGGAAGGCTCTTATAGAGCACTATATATAGTGTCTTAGAGTATAAAAAAAGAAAAAAGTATATAAAGAAAGTATATTAATTATTATAAAGAACCCTTAAAAAAGTATATTAAAAAATGTATATAAAGAACCCCTTAGATCAGTGAGAGGAGCAGTTCACAGAATAGAGCTATCCAGTATAAATAAAGTTAATTTAGTTTAGGTTTCCTCCTGTAGTAACACTGGATCAATAAGAGATGATCTTTACTGGACCTCTAGGAAGAACAGTTTAGAACTGATAGAGCTATCCAGTATAAATAAAATAAGTTTAGTATAGCGTAAATAAATAAATAAATAAATAAATGTAGTTTAGTTTAGATTTCTTTGTGTGGTATACCCACGATATCATATGGCACCAAATAGCCCTTACTGGACCTCATGTAGTGTAGTATATATAAAGCGTTTTTTACTAAGGTACGGACTGTAGCAGTATATTTCGTGGAAAACATAGGTCTGCTGACTATATAGGCTGAATTTCTTAGTATTGGAGAAAAACATATTTTCTTCGAATCGACTGAAATTTAAATCCAGAAATTAGTCCGCTTTGAATTTCTCCGTTGCTTTGGAGTACGATGAGAAATGGAAAGAAAATGGTCCTTACACATTTACTATACATATATGTATAAACATACCTTCTTCACTTGGTGCCAGCGCATTAATTCCTTCATCGCGGAACTGTTGCGAAACACGGCGACCATCGTACTTGCGGCTTCCTTTAGAAACTTCCCAGCTACTGACTCGCCCCCAAAGATCTCCTGAATACCTGCAGATATTTCTGTCATATCTTTGAGGTCGCTATATTTCATAACCAATGTGTCTTCCTTTACCGACACCTCTTGTTTGACGTTCTCAGTTATTAAACGTTCCTGTTGCCTGACTTCATTTCGCATTGCGTCAAGTTGTCGGTCAATGTTCAATGTTGAACACTGACAACCACTTTCATGATTACATTTTGCGACCACCACCAGTTTTCCAGAGCTTGATCCCATTGCGAACGTGCTATCTGTGAGAGCTGCCTGTTTCGTTTTCTACCGATCTTCGTCTGAAATGATTTTACGCGGAATTTAACTTTCCTATTACTGCAAAACTTTCCTCACGTGACCAACCACTTGAACCAATCAAATTCGTCTAAAATGATGACGTCAGAGTATCTTTCCTGGCACATGACATAGACATGGAGAAGCAATACACCCTCAGTTGGTTAGAGCACTGCACCGGAATCGCAGAGCCGCAGGCTCGATTCCTTGTGTTTATACTTCATGACCTTGCTGCGTTTTTTTATTATTTGAAATCATTGATATACTTTATGAAGAAATGCAATATATCTTTATAAGAAAATATTTCATCTTCACAGGATTATCAGAAAGAAAAGGTGGATAAAGCCATATTTCTACGAAAAAGCCGTTTAATTTTCTATTTTGCTATAGTTTTAGAGCCTGAAATAAAGTTCAAAAATTATCCAAAAAAAACAACAATCCGACCAAAATGAAATTTGATCGGTAATTTTCAAATTTTGTCGGACATTTTTAGTAGCCAGTCCGACAATTAGGCAGTCCGACAATTTAGTTCCGCTATGCAAATTCAAAATTATTATCATTCATTTGTTTAGAAATTGTTTTCACAGTCACTGAACATGAAAATATTTGCATAGCGGGACTAAATCGTCGGGCTGGCTACGCTCCCAGCGTCTATTGGGTAAATTACCTCAACAGATAATAAATTATGATGCTTTTAAATTTAACAGTTCTGTGTTCTTTGCAGGAGTGTCAGACGCAGTATTAAACCAATACGGATCCGATACGGATCAATTTAGCATTTGGTTGGAAAAACTGTAATTTGATCGGAACCGTATTATAATGTCCGACCATTATTTCAGGCTGCGACTTTAAAGTAAAGCTCGCAGTCTGTTTCAACGAATTCTAACATTAACGTTTTGAGATTTTTGACGTCAAATGAAGTTTGGCTATGTATGCGTTTATAGAGAGTTAAAATTTTTGTTAAATGTGGTTTGATATTTTCTTTGAGTGGATTTAAATAAAAGCGCGTAAAAGAATTGTGACGAGCTTCCCATCTCGGAGGTACTAGCTGTGAGTGCTAGTCGTTCCCTATTGATCTTACTCTTTGATGATCTGACTTCAAAGGTTCACCCACGTGATGTGATCAACCTTGCGTCTGAACCAATCAAGTGATCTATATGATGATGACAATGTTTCCTGTCAAGGAAGAACTTTGAAAGCGTTTTCGAAAGTTAATGAAATTGAAACAGGATCTTTTGAACCAGAAATAGAAAGGAAACTAGAAATGAAATAGGAGAAAGTCACTTTGCAGAAAGCATTATTTATAACAGGGAACCGTTGTTGTACAGTAGATATTGTTGTTCAATTTGAAAACACGTGTATAGACGTCTCTTCATTCTTGGTCAGCAGAGTTATAGCTACCGTCGGAGGCAACTTTTCTTTTTTGGGGAGGGGCAAGGAGCTCAACCCAGCGGGATGATGCATACTCGGCAGAGCGTTGACAGACTTTTTTCACATGAGTCCGTAGCGAGATTCGAACCCACGAACTCAGAGGTGAAAGGGGCTTGCCCTGACGACTGTGCCACCGAAGCTTGTATCTGCTGTATCTTAGCCGAGCCTGATTCCCATATTTCTCAAGTTATAGTTTCCTGTTGTACATTTATATAAATAAGTTGTACTTTAATTTAGGATTTGTATGTACTATTTAAAAAACGAGCAGGAGTGTTTTATTAGGTTTAAAGCCACGAGCGCGCAGCGCGAGTGGCTTTAGACCTAATAAAACACGACCTGCGAGTTTTTTAAATGGCTTCAAAAACGTTTGCATAATAATTCAAATCTTTATATAAAAATCTTTATATAAAAATCTTTATATTGTTTGCATAACAATGGTATTTTGTTAAAGTGTTCTTTTATAGCTGGTATAAAGACGTATGCACGTGACTAATTTCTTACTCAAGATTGGGTAATTGCTTCATGAATTATTGATGAGTTTTTTAAATTTATATAAATATGTTGTACTTTCATTCAGGATGTGTATCCTCGCCAGTCGTGATCACACATGTATACATCCTCAAGTATCAAAAGCCAAGAATAAGACTGAAGAATGTCGCAAATCTGTTGAAAACAAGGAGGTGGGTGGGGGATGTGGGGCTTCCTATCTCGTAAATGAATTTGCATGTTCCTCAATATGAAAGTACGGGAACATATTAAATGGAATATCTTTGACACACATTTCAGGGTAAGTCATGTCGGTTTCATGCGAGAGCTCGTTACGTGAGGAACCAGGAGGATCTGGAAGATTATGGTATTACCAAGGCTTGGGATATCTCAGAGCTGGTCGAAATTGGAGAAAAAATACAGGTACAGACAGGTAATTCTTCACTGGTAGAGGGTTGTGTATAAAGTGGTAAGAAAGATCCGGGAAGAAAGTCTCTTTGTCGTGCGTTGTTTGTCACAAGCAAGAAGAGAACTTGCTGGTTGACTCTATCAAACGCTCACGATTTCTTCATTTTTTTATGTTTTGTATATGTAGTAAAATTTCACCAATAAGTGATGACCTTTACTGGACCTTTAGGAAGAACAGTTTAGAACTGATAGAGCTATATACAGTATAAATAAAGTTAGTTTAGTTTAGGTTTCCTCCTGTAGTAACACTTGATCAATAAGAGATGATCCTTACTGAACCTCTAGGAAGAACAGTTTAGAACTGATAGAGCTATCCAGTATAAATAAAGTTAGTTTAGTTTACGTTTCCTCCTGTAATAACACGGAATCAATAAGAGATGATCCTTACTGCACCTTTAGGAAGAACAGTTTAGAACTGACAGAGCTATCCAGTATAAATAAAGTTAGTTCAATTTAGGTTTCCTCCTGCAGTAACACTGGATCAATAAGAGATGACCTTTAATGGACCTCTAGAGAGAACAGTTTAGAACTGATAGAGCTATCAAGTATAAATAAAGTTAGTTTGGGTTTCCTCCTGTAGTAACACTGGATCAATAAGTGATGATCCTTACTGGACCTCTAGGAAGAACAGTTTAGAACTGATAGCTAGAGCTATCCAGTATAAGTTAGTTTAGGTTTCCTCCTGTTACTATAGTAACACTGGATCAATAAGAAATGCTTTACAGGTTCGTATGCCCTATAAATCGCTCACCAACGTGAGTACAATTTTGACGACATTAAATATTTTTTTAGGGATGTCCATATTACATGACTCGGGAAATCGTGAATAATGCGGATATTATATTTTGTCCGTACAATTATCTGATTGACCCCATTATCAGAGAGCAGGTAAGCCTTCATTGTTGAAATGAAGAGTCTAGTGTATAATACTTGATTGTATAACTGATGGGTTTCAGTCAGCGTTCCAAGGCAGCAGATGCTGATCAACTTTAGAAATGTCGACACTTTATAGAAGCAAGAAAATTAAACTATATCTCTTAATTCTAGTTATTTTCCTCCAAATACCAGACTACGGCATTCCATACAATGAAAAGAATTTTCCCACTCTGATAACTGCACGTTGACCACAGCCTTGTTTAATGATAATGTTTAATGAACCCATGCATGGTGAAGCCCAGCTATGATGACTACTTTATACTTCATCTAGATGGATATCAGCCTAGCAAATCAGATTGTAATACTTGATGAAGCACACAATATTGAGGACTCCAGTCGTGCTGCAGCCAGTTGGTCTGTTACACCAAACAGTCTCGATGAAGCAATGAAAGACCTGGATTATTTTGGTAGGCTATCTTTCCCGTTTAGTTTAGGTTTCCTCCTGGATCAATAAGAGATGATCCTAACTGCACCTCTAGGAAGAACAGTTTAGAACTGATAGAGCTATTCAGTATAAATAAAGTTAGTTTAGTTTAGGTTTCCTCCTGTAGTAACACTGGATCAATAAGAGATGATCCTTACTGGACCTCTAGGGAGAACAGTTTAGAACTGATAAAGCTGTTCAGTATAAATAAAGTTAGTTTAATTTAGGTTTCCTCCTGTAGTCACACTGGATCAATAAGAGATGATGCTAACTGCACCTCTATAGGGAGAACAGTTTAGAACTGATAAAGCTATTCAGTATAAATAAAGTTAGTTTAGTTTAGGTTTCCTCCTGTAGTAACACTGGATCAGTAAGAGATGATGCTTACTGGACCTCTAGGAAGAACAGTTTAGAACTGATAGAGCTATCCAGTATAAATAAAGTTAGTTTAGTTTAGGTTTCCTCCTGTAGTAACACTGGATCAATAAGAGATGATCCTTACTGGACCTCTGGGAAGAACAGTTTAGAACTGATAGAGCTATCCAGTATAAATAAAGTTAGTTTAGTTTAGGTTTCCTCCTGTAGTAACACTGGATCAATAAGGGATGATCCTTACTGGACCTCTAGGAAGAACAGTTTAGAACTGATAGAGCTATCCAGTATAAATAAAGTTAGTTTAGTTTAGGTTTCCTCCTGTAGTAACACTGGATCAATAAGAGATGATCCTTACTGGACCTCTAGGAAGAACAATTTAGAACTGGTAGAGCTATCCAGTATAATTAAAGTTAGTTTAGGTTTCCTCCTGTAGTAACACTGGATCAATAAGGGATGATCCTAACTGCACCTCTAGAGAGAACAGTTTAAAACCAGTGGAGCTATCCAGTATTATAAAGTTAGTTCAGGTTTCTCATTCTCTATATTTACCTTTCTTTTTAGTTTCTAAAAACATACATAGAGAACAACATCAGGTTTTACATGAAGTGGTAAGAAATCTATAGTTTTTATCAAGAGTTGTAGTCAAATCTCTTTCTGAAAAATTCTTTTCTGAAGTCATGTGTGATGGTATCAATGTTTCTCTTAGTGTGCCACTATAAGGAGATGGATTGTGGCGAAAGCTGAAAATCAGACAGGCTGCCGTGATTACTCGAAAAGTTCAAAGATTTGGGAAGGACAAGAGTTAAAGCAGGCACTCAATGACGATCTTTGCTTTGTTCCCGCATTTGTCCGCCAATTAACGGTGAGTTTGAACTGTTCTACGTACTCAAGTTGTATCGTGAACATACAGAGACATTTCTATTATGTACTATTTAAAACATGAAGTGTTTTATCAGATATAAAGATACGAGCCGAAGCCGAGTATCTTTAGGTCTGATAAAACACGCATCGCGAATGTTTTAAATTGCTTCAAAAACGATCGATCTACTAAGTTCATTGGCGAAGTAATTTTCAAAAAATACGTTGTGTAAGTCGAGAAAAATCAAAGTTAAAGTTTATGTAAGTCAAGGGAAATCTCTATCACATATAAAGATACGACGCGCTTATGATTTTTCCTTGTGTTTTTCTCATGAATTATTAATGCGTTTTTGAAAATATTTATACAAATGCAGATATTAGATAGTTTTATATATTTAAAATACAAAACAATAGATACTCCGAAAATTGAAAGCATTTTGAAAATTTATTTCGACATTTCGATGACTATAGTTTAGTTGAAACGTCGAAATAAATTTTCAAAATGCTTTCAATTTTCGGAGTATCTATTGTTATGTATTTATCAAAATACTCAGTGGTTCCCGTAATTTATATATTTAAATATAAAGATATGAAACTGAAAACGTTTCATGCATATTTTCAATAGAATCATTTCAAGAAGGTGTTGAGACCTCCTGAGCCCGGGTAAGTATAGTACGTGCACTATTAAAATAGGATCTATAGCAAGCTAACTTTATCTGTATTAGATAGCTCTATAAGTTCTAAACTTTTCTCCCTGGAATACTGGATAGCTTTATCTGTTCTAAACTGTTCTCTCAAGAGGTTCAGTAACGATGATATCTTATTGTTCCTGTATTGTCTTATTCTGCCATTTGAAAAGGGAGTTCTGGCATTTGAAAAGGGAGTTCTGGCATTTGAAAAAGGAGTTCTGGCATTTGAAAAAGGAGTTCTGGCATTTGAAAAGGGAGTTCTGGCATTTGAAAAGGGAGTTCTGGCATTTGAAAAGGGAGCTCTGATATTTGAAAAGGGAGCTCTGATATTTGAAAAGGGAGCTCTGGCATTTGAAAAGGGAGTTCTGGCATTTGAAAATGGAGTTCTGGCATTTTAAAAGGGATTTGTGGCTTTTGAAAAGGGAGTTCTGCCATTTGAAAAGGGAGTTCTGCTATTTGAAAAGGGAGTTCTACTATTTGAAAAGGGAGTTCTGCCATTTGAAAGGTCATCTCTTATTGATCCAGTGTCACTACAGGAGGAAACCTGAGCTAAACTATCTTTACTTACACTCAATAACTTTGTCATTTCTAAGCATGCACGTACCATGCTCTTTATTTTTGTTTTTCCAAATAGTGCTAAGGATAAACGGGAACGTACGAACATGAATGCCGCGACAGCAGCCCTGTTTGAAGGCTTATTGATGGTGTTGTATTTTATAATGAAAGATGATTATAAACACTTGTGTGACTACAGGTATGAACCTTTTCTTGATGGTCAAACAAATGAGCTAACCTATCTTGATAGAACTATTTTTTATCTGTCTTATTTAAGAGTCGCTATTACTAAAGAGTATGCGCTGGTACCAGCGGTTATGGTAAGAATTTCAAAATACTGTATAGCATACTGTACCATACCATACCATACCTTAATATACCATACCACACCATACAATGTCTTGGGATACTATACCGCACCATACCATACCATACCATACCATACACCATACCATACACCATACCATACACCATACCATACAGCACCTTACCACTATACATCATCATACCATTACCATATCACACACCAAATCATACACCATACCATAAAATGCCATACTATAACATACCATACCATACACCATACCAGACAGTATCTTACTACTGTACATCATCATACCATACCACACACCAAATCATACACCATACCATAAAATGCCATGCTATACCATACCATACCATACACCATACCAGACAGTATCTTACTACTGTACATCATCATACCATATCATACCATACCACACACCAAATCATACACCATACCATAAAATGCCATGCTATACCATACCATACCATACACCATACCAGACAGTATCTTACTACTGTACGTCATACCATACCATACCATACCACACACCAAATCATACACCATACCATACAGTGCCATGCTATAACATAACATACCATACCATACCATACACCATACCAGACAGTATCTTACTACTGTACGTCATACCATACCATACCACACACCAAATCATACACCATACCATAAAATGCCATGCTATAACATACCATACCATACACCATACCAGACAATATCTTGCTACTGTACATCATCATACCATACCACACACCAAATCATACACCATACCATACAGTGCCATGCTATAACATACCATACCATACCATACACCATACCAGACAGTATCTTACTACTGTACATCATCATACCATACCATACCACACACCAAATCATACACCATACCATAAAATGCCATGCTATACCATACCATACCATACACCATACCAGACAGTATCTTACTACTGTACGTCATACCATACCATACCATACCACACACCAAATCATACACCATACCATACAGTGCCATGCTATAACATAACATACCATACCATACCATACACCATACCAGACAGTATCTTACTACTGTACGTCATACCATACCATACCACACACCAAATCATACACCATACCATAAAATGCCATGCTATAACATACCATACCATACACCATACCAGACAATATCTTGCTACTGTACATCATCATACCATACCACACACCAAATCATACACCATACCATACAGTGCCATGCTATAACATACCATACCATACCATACACCATACCAGACAGTATCTTACTACTGTACATCATCATACCATACCATACCACACACCAAATCATACACCATACCATAAAATGCCATGCTATACCATACCACACACCATACCATACCAGACAGTATCTTACTACTGTACATCATACCATACCATACCACACACCAAATCATACACCATACCATGCCATGCCATATCATACACAACAACGAAGTGACAATTAATTTATGTTTTTTCTTTCATTTTAGCCCAACGGCTTCAGAAGAAAAGGGGGTAAGAAGGTGTACTCTTATAAAATAATTTAGGGCGGAATAAAAGTTGGAAACGTCGTACATGCGAAATTATAATCCGACAATCTCATATTGCAGGAATCGAGATGTAAGACACCGCGATGAAGGACGCAGGCACCGACTACTATACCACACCATTGTCCCCTTTCATTATTTGATCTGTTTCATTTTTTAGAGTTTGAAAAGAAATTGGTCTATACTTTGAACTTCTGGTGTCTTAGCCCAGCTGTAGTAAGTTCTGCGTTTATACAAATAGTCAATAGAAAGACACGTTTATCTAGATACATATGAAGATAAAATTGTTTATTTTTGTATAATTTTTGTAATTGTATAATTTTTGTTTTATTAGTTTTAAGTTTGAAGCATTTTTTTTCTTTTCAAATGCAGGTATTTTCGGAGATCAGTCAAGAGTCAAGGAGTGTTATATTAACTTCAGGCACACTTTCACCAATGTCGACATTCTCATCAGAACTTGGATGTAAATTTCCCATACAGCTGGAGGCAAACCATGTTGTAGGTAGTTCGCAGGTATGGTATGGTGAAGTATGGTATGGTGAAGTATGGTATGGTGAAATATGGTATGGTATGGTGTGGCGTGATTTGGTATGGTTGGTGTGGTATGGTGTGTGGTATGGTGTGGTGTGGTGTGGTATGGTATGGTATGGTATGGTATGGTATGGTATGGTATGGTGCGGGAAGGTTTGTGGTATGGTATTGGTATCGTATGGTTTAGTAAGGTATATGGTATGGTATCGTGTAGTGTAGTGTAGTGTAGTGTAGTGTAGTGTAGTGTAGTGTAGTGTAGTGTAGTGTAGTGTAGTGTAGTGTAGTGTAGTGTAGTGTAGTGTAGTGTAGTGTAGTGTAGTGTAGTGTAGTGTAGTGTAGTGCAGTTTGCTATTTAACAAATATAAAACATTTCCGGTGTTGATATACACTTATATCAACACGAGTGGAAATTGGGAAAACGAGAAATTGTGATTCAGTGTATCATTGTTTTCTTGCATGTAGGTTTGGGTGAGCAGTTTAGCAGTTGGTCCAAGTGGTTCCACCCTCAATGCAACGTATCGTTTTGCTGAGGTTCGTATTGTGAATATTACTAATATAAGATCACCTCAGATTACGCGATGAAATTGATCTTCCTTTATTTTTAGACGTTTGAATTCCAAGATGAAATTGGTGAAGCCATTCACAGAGTTTGCGAGGTCTAGTGCATTATACAGTCATAAACAGTGGTGTTGATCATATTTACTCAAGTATATACTTACTAATCTTTCAGGTAGTTCCTCATGGCGTTCTCTGTTTTCTGCCTTCTTACAGTATGTTGGATAAACTCATGAACAGATGGAAGGTATTAACTGTCACTAAATCTTGGGGCCAGTTGTTCAAAGCTGGGTTAGCTTAACCCTAGGTTAACCTAAAATTCAAAACAAACTTCCTGACAGCTTCTTTATAAGTTTGGAAATATTTCTTCAGCAATATTGTCTGGATCAATAGGAGTATTCTTCTCTGAAGTTTTGAAATAAACAGACGTGTAGAAATACATAAACTAAAACAGCAGGTTAAATTTTAACCAAGCGTGAGCCCCAATCCAGGTTTGAACAACCACAGCTGCTGAGGCACATACACTGACCGTTGTGTCGCCATATCGATTGTGTGTTCTCTATTTTCAGATGACGGGTCTTTGGGGCAGATTGTGTCGAGTAAAGAATACATTCTCCGAACCAAGACGCGGTGACAAAACTGGTGAGAATTTAGACGAACATTAAGAAAAACATGTTTCACCAAATTCTTCATGCTTTCACGTTCACTTTCAGATTTTAATGACTTGATGACTGATTTCTACGATTGCATCAAGCTGTCCGAAGATTCAGGTATCTTATACATTCCAAGGGCGGATTTTCATAATTTTTAAAGGAAGGGTGGAAATATTTCTAGTGGGGTGCAAGCGGCACCACCGAGTGAGCTTCGGGAGGGGTTAGGCGTTAGGTGTTAAAGACTCACACAAAATAGGAGGGGTCAAGCGAAATTTTGGTGGGGTTGAACACTTTATAAGAGGGGTTAGAGATATTCTAGAGGGGTTTAACCCCTCCTAAGCCCCACCCCCAGTAAATCCGCCCATGATACATTCTCTTGAAATTCCCACTGCCTGGGTAGTGAGAAACCTAGCGATCGGAAACCTCTGCTCGCAGGGTCGCGTGAGAGGTATTGGTGGAACTAAAATTTTAATTTACAACTGCGTGATTATAATCAATCGCCATTAAACTGTCTTTGTACTAGATGGTGAATATGGGACATCAGGTGCGCTGTTCTTTGCTGTATGTCGTGGAAAAGTCAGCGAAGGTCTGGATTTTGCAGACAATAATGCCAGAGCTGTTATAACGGTGAGAAATTCATCTTTTTAATAGACAATTCCAGCTATCGGCTAATTTTTTATCTAGACAAGAAGGACGAAATATATCATCATAGCTCGAAAAAGCATTCTTAAATTAGTAAAATTGCAAAGTTTGGTTGCGAAATGTTGTAAAATACGGAAAATATAGCCCTGTGAAATCAGCAAATTTTGAGTATTTTAGTATTACGCGCGGTAAAAATAACCATTTTTGAGCCGTCATTCTTAGAAGAAATGTAATGTATAGTAAAAAACCTCATCTTGATCAACTTTTTCACTGTCAAACTTTCTGGATATGATGTCATTAGGTGAATTTTTGGTACAAAAAACAAAGGAAAACTAATTTTCAATTCACCTAATGACATCATATGCGGAATCTTTAACAGCGAAAAGTTGATCAAGATGGAATTTTTTATTATAAAGATATATTACATTTCTTCTTCGAATGACTCAAATATTACACATACCAAAAATCATATCAGTCGTACTTTCAAGATAACTTGACCAGAGTGCACCACAATAATTACAAAAATGAATTTTCATTGTGTAGGTTGGGATACCATTCTCAAACGTCAAAGATATACAGGTGGAATTGAAGCGGAAATACAACAACCAGTATTGTTCTGCGAAAGGACTTTTAAATGGTAATGAATGGTACGAAATACAAGCTTACAGAGCTCTTAATCAGGTACTTATTGCTTCAGATTTATTCATCAATTTGAGTGGGTTTTTATCACGGACAATATTCACAATATTTAAATTTACTTCTTAATTTGTTTTTAGGCCTTAGGTCGTTGTATTCGTCACAGGTAGGGATTTGTCTTTTTTGATGTCTTGTGTAAGTAGCAATCATCCGTTTGTACTACTGATGAAGTTTTTGACTGTTTTTCACTTGTACAGGAATGATTGGGGTGCAATTCTACTGATTGACGAGAGATTTGGCAAGTCTCCTAAATATAGAAATGGTAAGAACGTCTTTGCAACTGGATATGTCGAACATCGCCTAAGATAAACTGAGCTAACTTCAGTTATACTGGATGGCTCTATCAGTTCTAAACTGTTCTCTCTAGAGGTCCAGCAAGAGTCATCTCTTATTGATTCAGTGTTACTACAGTAGGAAACCTAAACTAAACTAACTTTATTTATACTGGATAGCTCTATCAGTTCTAAACTGTTCTTCCTAGAGGTCCAGAAGGGATCATCTCTTATTGATCCAGTGTTACTACAGGAGGAAACCTAAACTAAACTAACTTTATTTATACTGGATAGCTCTATCAGTTCTAAACTGTTCTCCCTAGAGGTCCAATAAAGGTCATCTCTTGAACCTCCGGTCAGAGAGGTGAAAGGCACTAAGTAATTCATTTTCACACTAGGTTTATCAAAGTGGATCCGTGGTAAAGTGGTGCATCACAACAATTTTCCAAATCTCATTTCATCCCTGAAGAAATTCGCTGAGGCTCGACTGGAGAACCCCTGTCCCAACAAGACCATGCTTCAGACACCCACTGCTACACCAAGACGATCTACTGATTCAAACGAAACGAAATCCAATCAAGAGTCACCGATATCAGTGAACAGTCGCTCGCAGTGCACCCAAACACCACCACAGAAGATGGATATCAGGGGTGTTAAACAAGAACCAGGGTTGATAACCACACCTACCTCAAATTGTCACCAAACTACATCTCAACTAGTATTACCTGTTTCAGGAAGCAGTGTTTCCAGCCTACAGCAGTTTCAATATACCCCACAGAAACCAACCAATCAGACCATGTCAAACACTCACAGGGTTAGTCGTCATAATCATCCCCAAGTTTTCGAGACGGCCAATCAGATTTCAGAACAAACTCACGTGACTGTAGCTTCAACTCCAACTACTCCGCGGCTATTTATATCAGCCAATCAGGTGTCGTCTAGCACTCCGGTAGTCGGTCGTGGTGTAGTACCAAAGATGCTACCTTTGACTCCACTTAACTGCCCTCAACTTGCAGGCACGGCAGATAGCCTGCAACGAATGCCGAACCCGCAACAAATGGTGAACGTACAACATATTGTGATACCACAGACATCTGGGAACAATGGGGTTATCTTCAACATCTTTGGTGGAGGTCAGCCGACTACACCTGGGGCTGGATCGGTACAGTTGGGTGGTGTTGGTCAAGGGATAAGATTGAACATCACAGGTCAGCCTGGCGCACAGAATATACGGTTCAACATGACAACACAGCCAAGACCTGAGAGTACTTCTGGGGGAAAAGTGGGACTTCAGGGACCAATGAGTACTCCTGGTGTAAATGCTGGGGTGCAAGGAGGGGGACTACTTAGTACTCCAGGGATTGTGCGAGTTAAACAAGAACCACAAAGCCCCCCTGAGATACCACGTGAAAATAAGGGACAGACTAGTGGGGTGAATCAGGGTTCAAATGGAGCACAAGGGTGTTTACAAGCTAAAGGGAATAGGATTCTAAGAAAACCGTTATTTTCATCAAATGAATCATTAGTTCCTGGAAATAAGGAAATGAACAAAGAAATGAGCAAAGATGTAAATGGTGGTCAGAATGAAAATGCAGGATATAGTGATGTTTCCACGTTACTGAAGCGCCGAAACAACGCTCCAAAACCGTTAGAGATCAGTGGATATGGGTTAACTGAGCCAAAGGATGGGGTTTTGACTGAATGCGGCGACCCTGACTCCCCCTTGCTCTTTTGTACCCCACCCACCCCGTTTGAAAGTAGCGATGATGATGATACCAAGGGTGGTAAAGGAGTAGATAGGGTGGAAATGGGGCATATGGGTATAAGAAGTGATAGGAAAGTTCTAGAAGATGAGGGTCACGCGGGAGTAAATAGGGTGAATTTGGAACTTTTTGGTGCACCAGTTGATAATATGAATACAACAAGTGTTAGAAAGATTCCACAAAAAGATGGTGGTGAAGGGGTACTTGTGGTGAAATCTGAACCCATGGATACAACAATGGATAGAAAGGTTCATGAGGGTATGGAGATGGTAGGGGTAACCAAGAATAATGATGGACCAGAAGGAATGGACGGAAGTGATGGAAATAAGGATATACTGGATATCTTAGATGATGCAGTGAGGACTATCATTTCAAATGTAAGATATTCCGCACATATCTCGTCCCTCTGTGGGATAAATTGAACATTGTTTTATCTCACCCAGGTGATCTCGAGTTCGTATTTTAGCCAATCAGCGCTCAGAAAGGGTTGTCCGAATAGAAATCCATTTTGATGTATTCAGTCAATTATATCTTTCGTTATTCTTTATGAAACTAGTTGAAATTTTGTAATTATGTTTGGTTATAGAACTATAGCTCTGACAAAAATATGGAATCGAAATAAAGTATATTACAGGAGATATTCCGTTGTTTTAATCATAAAATGGATTTCTATTTGACAACTAGTGCCAGTACTTTTCCGCGTATCAAGATCATCTGGACTGTTGATGTGTTTCAGAAAGCGTCACAGCCGATGGTGCTGCAGAAAAGCTGACACTTGAATAAACTTCGTGTGTTTAAAAGCCTTCAAATACAAAACTACTACCTATACTGAAAAGATTCACATCACCCCCTCACTCTGAGAACCGTCGGTTGACCACCAGCTGCTGCACGATAGCACGCAGTGAAACACATTTATTATTATACACAGCATTTTGTTTTCTTCAACAAATTCTTGTGATCCAGCTTTTCCCCAGCGACTTATCACGTGCTATACTGCTATAATAGAGTTTAGTATAACTACATAGGTGATTATTGAAAATTCTCCACGCTGATTGGTTGCCGTTGAGGTGATTATAACGCGATAATCACCTCAGGCTCGGTGATTATCTTCGACTTCGTCTCGTTTTTATTCACCGATAATCACCTCGCCTTTGGCGAATAATTGTTAAATATTCAGCATTGTTTTTTTTTCTGTTTAGAATGTCACTTGGAATGTGAAATGCAAGGCTTGCGATTCAGCTTTTTATTCCACTGTGAACAGTACTTCGGGTAAGACAACCTGTTATCTGTATGTGTCTTTTACCGTTCCAGTTGACCTACAAAAGGCAGAATGCATTCTTTTGGTATTCCCGTCCCCTCCTGTAGTAACACTGGACCCATAAAGGATGGCCTTTACTGTACCTCTAGCCTCTACGAAGAACATTTTAAAATTGATAGGTTTCCTCCTGTATTAACACTGGATCATTGAAGAATGGCCTTTACTGTACTGTACCTCTAGGAAGAACAGTTTAAAATTGATAGGTTTCCTCCTGTATTAACACTGGATCATTCAAGGATGGCCTTTACTGTACCTCTAGGAAGAACAGTTTAAAATTGATAGGTTTCCTCCTGTAGTAACACTGGGTCATTGAAGGATGGCCTTTACTTTACCTCTAGGAAGAACAGTTTAAAATTGATAGGTTTCCTCCTGTAGTAACACTGGATCATTGAAGGATGGCCTTTACGTATAGAACAGTTTAGAACCGATAGAGCTTTACAGTATAAATAAAGTTAGTTTAAGTTTATGCTGTAACAAACATTTCCGTATTTCTCCAGATGACGTCAAACCTAGAGAAGAAGAAGTCTTCACTGACACCATGCTTGGAAACATTCTGAACAGTTTGTTTTCCTTGAACACAAACAGAAGGAAGAAGACTCCGCCATCTTTGACAACACTTCATGTTCCTGATGTGAATGTTCTTCAAGGATGTTGTCCCGCCTTTGCTTACCACGAAGGAAAACAAAACAAACAAGGTCAGTTTTCATATCGTTCCACAGGAATATTGGTAAATAAACTGGAACGCTAACTGCTATGATGAAGGCTTATGATTTGCTGAAGCCAAAATAGTTTTTTCTGAGTTATGAGCAGAAATACTTGATCCCAAACGTTGGGCTATATATCAAACTGAAGCTATTGAAAATTGCTATTCGGTGTGGAAATTTCAAGACTTCAGCGAAAAGAAAAATATTTTTAAATATTTCTAATTTTTTCAATTTTTGTATTTTTTAAATATTTCCCTTTTAGCTAAAGTCATGGCATTTCTACACCAAATAGCGTTTTTCAATTGCTTCAGTTTCATATACAGCACAACGTTCAGTGCTGAGCATTTCTGCTCACAACTCAGAAAAACTAAAATGCAACGGCTTCAATCCCCGCCCTCTGAGTTAGCCTTCCAGTTTACTTATAGTTCAATGGTGCTGGCCACCACCTCGGACCGGTTAAACTTATATATTTTATTTTTGTATTTGTACTTGCCTTTCCGATCGAAAAATGGATTTGATAAGGAAATTGGCACCACCACTCCCCACCCCCCCCCCGCACCTATTTTGTCTAGTATATAGGAGAGTGCACACTCCTGTATTCCCCCCACCCACCAGGAAAACCCAGGTATGATTATAAGCATCACTTTCATTCTAGATATGAAACTAAACAGCATATATTGTGAAGAAGAATCTCGATGCTACATCTCGCTAGTATGTAAGCAGTGTAAGGAATCGCGTACTGCTCGTGGACGGAGTATTATAGCTGTGCGTGCGGTGCCTTGTGGGAGTGGAGAAAACAAAACCAAGTCGATGGTAAGTCTATTCTCTATAAGAGAAACTATGATGGTTAATGTTTTAATGTTTTTAAACCATACAGTTTTCAACTTATTCCTCCATGATAGTTCCAGTAAGAGCCTCCCCTCTAGTGATCCAGTGTTGCTACGCTGAGGAGGAAACCTAAATTAAAGTAACTTTATTTATACTGGATAGCTGTATCAGTTCTAAACTGTTCTTCCTAGAGGTCCAGTAAGGATTATCTCTTATTGATCTAGTGTTACTACAGGAGGAAACCTCAACTAAACTAACTTTATTTATACTGGATAGCTGTATCAGTTCTAAACTGTTCTCCCTAGAGGTCCAGTAAGGATCATCTCTTATTGATCTAGTGTTACTACAGGAGGAAACCTCAACTAAACTAACTTTATTTATACTGGATAGCTCTATCAGTTCTAAACTGTTCTTCCTAGAGGTCTAGCAAGCATCATCTCTTATTGATCCAGTGTTACTACAGGAGGAAACCTAAACTAAACTAACTTTATTTATACTGGATAGCTCTATCAATTCTAAACTGTTCTTCCTAGAGGTCCAGTAAGGATCATCTCTTATTGATCCAGTGTTACTACAGGAGGAAAACTAAACTAACTTTATATTTATACTGGATAATTCTATCAACTTCTTTTATAGATCTGGTTTAATCGCGACAAAGTTGAAATGTTTTCACCGGGATGAGAAAATGCAGATTGGAGAAATGGTATTATCAAAATTGAGTTTAAAGTAGAGAGCCAGACAGGTAACAAAATAAAATGTATCCATGTACGGGAAGAGAAACACACAGGTATTTATGATTTGAAGCTTAGATTTGAAGTATAGACTTAAACCTGAACATTTAAGGGTACAACGTTTTTGCAACTGCACATGTTCATATTATACTTTTGGGAGCATTCGCTGACACAATGTAAATATATTAAGAGAGCTATTGACTAATATGCCACGTTTAATTTAAACTTAAATCGTAAAGGTTGCACGTTTTTGCTAGCGCGCATATGCTATTATACTTTAGGGAAATAAACTTGCAAATTATATTAATTATACAAGATGACGATAAGCATATAAATAAGTTTATATTTTATTAAATTTGATATAATATGTATTATAATCTCTTTAAGAGCGAACTATTATACAGTTGATTGCAAAATATTTAAAATGATATAAATGGTTTATATATATGTCAAATGAAGATTTTTTCACGGCTGAAAATTATTTCGAGTATTTGCTTCAAGAACGATTTTCCTGCCCCTTCAAAAGTCGTTGAATTTTATCTTCTTTTTGAAGTAAGTACAGCTTATAGAACTATTTCCTGTCGGAGAATCAAATGCCGCAAATAATCTGATTATTTCTTGCAAAACTTTATTCTTTTGTGAATGCTTGAATTTTAATTTTTTTTAAATGAAGAAATCGGTCAAGTCTTTTCATAATTTTTCACACTTTTTCCTGGCATTCAAATTGAGAAGCGTATCGTCCCGAAACAAAGCGTGTTTCTTAATTTTCTTCGTTCCTTGAGCACTCAAATAAACTATGAGGACTTCGTCTTAAAAACGGCTGAAGTGGAAAAGAAGCTTAATGTTGTTATAGGAGAGAGCTAGCAGTTCAAGGCTAAAAGTTCAATGTTTTGAGATGTGATACTATATAAACTAAGCAATCTTTTTCAATTTTTTATTTATTTAATATATAAAGCTCTTATATACAAATAGTTCAATACGCGTTATGCGACATGTATAAAATGGTGTAAAATGAAAAAAAGCTGCCTATATTTTAGTGTGGTTCCAAATCTAGAGAATTTACTAAAAGAAACAAAGTTATCGCCAAATTTCACCCAAAAATCGTCCATAAATTTGGGTGTTTCCTATTCCATGGCCACCAAGCACGACCTTCCTCGTTAAAATTGGGTTTATGCAAGATTTGAAATTTACATGAATGATAAAATCCAGTACAAACAGCTTATAAAATGAGATCAGTGCCGGTGGGCGATGTCTAGACTAATATATACTCGGCAGTCTTGTATTTGATCTATTACAAGCAGGAACTACAGCGGTGCTAATGCGCAAAACACATACTCGACATGATACTGTAAATCTTATAACGATTTTATAACATGGCTAGACAAATTTTGATGCTATAAAATCTATAAAAGACAACTCATATTTACTCCAACAGTTTTACCACTGTGATTTGATGTAAATTACAAGCAGGAACCATACGCTAAATACCCGATATGATACTAATAAGTTACATAAACTTTAGATTTGATTTTCTCGGCTTAGACAACGTTTATTTTTAAAATTACTTCGCCAATGAAGTCATCAGATGGGTCGTTTTTAAAACATTCATGGTCCGTGCTTTATCAGATATGAAACACTCGTGCTGCGCTCTCGTGTTTTGTGTCTGATAAAGCACTCCTGCTTGCATGTGTTTTAAATAGTACATCTGTACATACAGTGATTACTGGTTAGGTCTATATAAATTTACTGTATATAAATTTTCCAGCTGGAGCCTAGACAGCGGTGCTAAAATACTAGACATCCTGCTAGACATGCATGATACGCGCGTAAAAATTGAGAAAATCAACAACTTGTTCCAGGTTGATATCAACAGGCGTGAACAAGGTTGTGCGGCCCACTATGAACAGTATTGTCAACATGTTGTTACAGCATTGTTCAACTGTAACAACTTGGAACAACATGGTTGACAACTTGTTCATAGTTGGCCGCACAACATTGTTCACGCCTGTCGA